GGAGTCGCTTAAAAATCAACGACGCGAGCAAGAATATGCATTGCAAATACAAAGTGCGCCCTTTATACTCAAAACTAACTTGACCCGAGATTTTTTGATAACATATTAGAACAAAAAATTAACATTTGCCATCCATAGAACACATGTCAACGTTTAATCTTGTTGAAACTGAGAACGAATTTAGGCTAAAAGAAGAAATCAAAAAGAAAGAAAAAGAACTAGCACTTTTGCGAACAAAAAATATGCTTAAAGACAAGGCCATAGGAAGGTGTGGATAGGAGTACGTGAAGTGAAACCTGACATTAATAATTTGCGTTCTCAAACGAATTTATATAATCGAAAGTGTTGAAATCGGACGCGCCATTCTTTCCTCGCTTTACCCCCCAAATTCCGGTTCACATATTTCGTATCCTTACCATCTTGTTTCAAGTATATCCTCGTAGATGAATGCTATTGATCCTAAAAATTCTGCCACTCGCAGATGCCTCACTAAGCTTGTAAATGAGCGTGATTCTCTGGTATCGGAATTCCTAACTTCTCATCAGGAATTACTCAAAGCGCGAACTGAACTGGCGAAATTACAACAATCTGTCATTAGTTTGTTTTCCTTTCAACATTCATGTGATTCTGTTTAACTATTATATAATTAATTGCCTTACTAAATTTTTGTCCAGTGTGTCATAATGATAATCGGGAGTTGATGAGAAGAATTAAGAATGTTCGATCACAGTCGAGCGTGTCAACCTCTGCAGATCTTAACCGTTTGCAAAGGTGGGCACGTGATTCTTCTGGAAAATAAGTTTTTATGATGTCGTTCGTGTTTCACCTCGTTTCAAATCTTCAGAGACCTATCGGAAGCCGAAGCAAAACTTGAGGTGACTAAAAACGTCCTGCAGGTATTGTCAACGCGTAGTCATGATGCGATAATATAAGATCGTTTATTTTATTTCTTAAATGATTCCAAAAATTTCTAGGGTTTGATACTCGAAAGCGGAGTCAATTGGGTTGCAGACGAGCATTTATTGAAACTCATGTTAAATATTGGGAAGGAAATTTGATACCTCGGGAGTTTTTGGTAAAGTCACGTGACGCAGAGATAATAAGCATCGAGACAAATAAAGTAAATGCGCATTTTCACGCAAGATGATAGCTGCAAGCCTAAATTGTTAGGGCCGATGTGCACCTGATCACATTCAAGCAACTTTCATGAAAGGCCGGCCTGTGCCGACCCTTGAATCACTAGGCGTTTTGATCTAATCTATAATTAAATGATTTCCATATTTGTTTCGTGATACAAATAAACATTGATTTTTATCATGAAATTGATTGAGATTGATTTTGGATATTAAAATAAAAGGCTTGGGTTTCTACGGTTTCGCATGATAAGTAATAATGACCGCACCTCCAGCTAAATATTCGGTAGAATTACCTAACTCAAGAAAGCCAGGGCAAACTGGAATTTATCGCAACGCACTTCGACCAGATTCCCTGATTGTTACTTATAGGTTTGCAATAATTTCTAAACGGGTCTTATTCTAGTAAGCAATAAATCATATCTCTAGAACTATATTCCCTTCGCAGGCCTGATGTCAAGACCCTGTACGAAAACTTTCAATACGGTAATTGTGTTTTTACGGTTTCCTGGAATCATGCAAAATTCCTTCTTGACTCTCATTTTGTCGTTCTCCTTTAAGCATTAAAGATCTCGGGAGACAGACCACTTCTTGGTCACAAACCCTTTAATAAAGCGACTCGTAAATTTGAACCATATTCATGGCAAACTTACAAGCAAGTAGCCGAACGTGTGACCAATTTTGGGTCTGGTCTAATGCACTTAAACGACAATGTGAGATGCAATTTTCTTTCTGCAACATCCGTTTCTCACGAATGATGTTAATCTCTTCGTTTTGACACAGGTTATCAAGAATCCAAATTCAAAACAATGGGCTGTTGGAATTTACTCAAACAATAGACCTGGTAAGAATCTGGACAATTGTGCTCTACGCAATTCTGAACTAACCTTTTATTATTTATTCACGAACCAGAATGGTTTATTACTGATGGGGTAAATAAGCGAGCTTTTGAACTTTCGTTTTCGTTTCTCATGCGTAAAATGTTAACGGATCTTTTTTTCTTTTCTTCCTTTTTTTTAAGGCTAATCAATCATACAATTTGATCACCGTCGCACTCTACGATACCTTGGGCGCGGGTAACCATTGACCTCCCTCTGTTTATCACTTAAAGTAGTGTTGGATAATGATTAATTGTGAAATTTGCGTTCCAACACTAGAATCCATCGAATACGTGGCAAATCATGCGGAAATTAAAATTATCGTTGTCGGTGCTAATCACATACCCAACTTGATTCAAATTGCCCACAAAATCCCTGGGGTAAAAGTTTGTGTGTCAATGGACAGGTTGGATGATGAGGAGGAATACACTTCCCTTGGATTAAACATGACCGGGAAAATCTTAAGATCGTGGGCACAGGAAAAGGGTATTCTGCTCTTGGACTTCAACGAAGTTGAGAGGATAGGTCAGCAACATCCTCGTAAGCACAATCCACCGTCACCAAATGATATCGCTTCCATATGCTATACGTCTGGTACGACGGGCACGCCTAAAGGTGCTTTGCTTTCGCATGCGAGCTTCATTGGATCCTTGTCAGCTGTCTATCATACTTCAAGTTTAAGACAAGATGATGTATGTTTTCATGCATTGTCATTTGAAAATTTAAAGTCTGTAATATGTCTTTCACTGAATATACTTTGATTTCTATCGCAGATCTTCATATCATATTTACCGGTAAGGAAACGAACGTCAATTAATATTGGGTTGTTGCTGATTGTAAACGATTATTTAATAACGCACAATAGCTCGCTCATGTCTTTGGACGTATTGGAGAACTTTCAGTAATCAGCTACGGTGCCAGCATTGGATATTATAGTGGGGATATTCTTAATCTTATTGATGACATGGCAGAACTGAAGCCGACACTTTTCGCAACAGTTCCGAGGTTGCTCACGCGTGTTTATGCCAAAATTCAACAATCCACTGTTAATGCTCCTGGTGTCAAAGGAGCGTTATCAAGAAGAGCTTTTGCTGCTAAGCTTGAACGATTAGATAAAGGACTCGGTAACACGCATCCCTTTTGGGATCGAATTTTATTTAACAAGATTAAACAGGTACTGGGCGGTCGTGTGCGAAGAATGGTCACTGGATCAGCGCCCATAGCTTCGGAGATATTACAATTTTTGAGGGTCGCCTTTTCCTGTGACATATCTGAAGGTCTGCATGCAGTTTGTCAAGATCGATCTTGTGTGTAGCATTTCATAAAGAATAACGCACTTATTATTTCTCTGTCTATGAAATTTAGGCTATGGTCAAACGGAAGGCATTGCTTCGGCAACAATATCTCTCGAAGGTGAAAATAGGGCGGGTCACGTAGGTGGTCCAGTGATATGGTAAATAGATTAACTAAAAATTCCTTGATCTTATTGTTCCGGCATCATATCATGCTCACCTGTGTCGTTTCTGTCTCACAACATTTAGCTGTGAAGTAAAGTTGGTGGATGTTCCAGAGATGCGTTATTTTTCAACTGATAAACCATTCCCCCGCGGAGAATTATGCATTCGTGGTACAAACGTATTCTCTGGTTATTACAAAAATGAAGCAAAAACAAAAGAAACTATTGACGATGAAGGATGGTTGCACACCGGTGACGTGGCCTACATTGATGAAAGAGGTAGGGTTTTATCGAATTCTCGATATTTTAGTACTATCCTATTTTTGTAACAACATTGATTTCGCCTATAGGTGCTGTAACCATAATTGATCGTAAAAAGAATATATTCAAGTTGTCCCAAGGAGAATATATCGCTCCAGAAAAGGTGAGAGATCATAATTTATTAAAATTCTTTCAAGTGCATTAGCTTTACACTCATCTGTATGATGTTTTATTCTACAGATCGAAAATGTGTATGCCTCTTCCGGTTTAATACTACAAATATTTGTGCACGGCGATTCTATTCGTGATCACCTTGTCGCCATTGCGATTCCAAACCCAGAAGTCTTTGTTCCGTGGGCTAATACATTAACTGGGCAAAACGTTTCGTTAAGTGACGAGAAAGGATTAGAATCTCTTGTTAAGAATGACCTCGTAAGAAATGCTTTCTTGGAAGAGATAAACAAAATTGGTAAAGAAGCTAAACTCAAAAGGTTTGTGTTTTATTCTTGGTATGTTTGAGTGAATGCCAGTTATCTTCCTACATTCTTATCATTCTCACGCGTTCACAGTTTTGAGTTGGTCAAGTCCATCCATCTTACGCATGTTCCACTTACCGTCGAAGATGGTTTATTGACGCCGACGTAAGTAAAATAAATAAAAATTCGATATTCGCCAACGACTCAATTAACTAATCCATTTTCGTTTATTGCAATTTGTGCAGCTTAAAAATTAAGCGTAATGAGGCTCAAAATTACTTCCGTGATGTGATTGATAAGTTATATGGAGGGAGGGATAATGTGAAAGCCAAATTGTGACATCAAAAACATTACTTTCATAATAGATAATTATTTTTAAAATTTGATACCGGATGCCGGTGTCGAAGGCATATAATGTATTTATTTTAGCTTCCTGGTGCACCGCTAACATTTCAGCTCGAGGAAGATATTTTTAAATAAAAAAAAAAACAAAAATCCTCTACGTAATAAAAATCATGTACATATACGCGTGAGAAGTGATGATCCGATACCATATTTGGAATAACTTTTTATAGGATGGACACGCTTTTTGCCCTTTACCACAAAAATGAGGACGCCTACACTCACTCAGTCTTCTAAAACGTATTTTAATATCTGCGCATTTCCTAGAAAAACTTACCCCTCCTTCCTCGGTGCCATCAAGCTTTCAAATTTGTTTTTTCGTCATCACAGATATTCCACTGTCAAAGAGACTCTGGTCGAGGATCAAAAGGTCTCGAGTCAGGCAAAGAGTAAGCACATCTGTCAAGCGCTGACTACAAGACCTCCCGTGTTACTATCCGGGTGCCCATTTGATTGTAGACAAAGGATTGCGTTTGGAGTTAACTGAACTGCGAACCGTAATTTTAATGAAAGTACCGGGCAAGTACTCGCAAATAATGCAATCGAACTTATTTCACCATACATCCTGGTGACTCGGTTAACACGGCAGGTAGTTCGGTCAGCGCGAAATTTTGTCGCCTGATCTATGGGACTCGGCTAATTTTCTTTCCTTTCACCTTTATCAGGAAGTTTCAATGCGGTGAACGTGGAAATGCTACCGGATTGGTTGTACGCACAAGTTTTTCCGAATCAAGTTCGAGATTCTCCCCCCCATGAGCGTGTAAGCATATCTATACATCACTTGGTGCAACAAGGACTTTACAATAAGGAAACCGAAGAATTTCCGCCCATAAATTATTTCAACTTGCCGAAACTGTGTGGTGATTCAATAGCCGAGCATTTTTGGAAAATTGGAGAACAACAAGCGTACGATAGCAGAGAGTTGGCGAAAAGATTTGCCGAATCAGAGCTGCCGGACATGCCGGAGGAGGAAAAATGGGTGTTCAATGCGGGATGGACGCGTTATCGAGGAGGTGACATGTCACCTGAGCCTGTAGAATATCCCGAGGAGAGCGCCCTATGTTTCGATGTTGAAACATTACTTAGCGACAGTGACTACGCGCTCATTGCCTGTGCTGCTTCCCCACAAGCGTGGTACGTTTGGTTATCTCCGCGACTTATAGAATATCGCGATCGTTACTTAAAAAAAATGGAAAGTGATGAAAAGACAGATTGCGAGTCGGTGAGGGCGACCGACCAGCGAAAACACAAATCCGATAAAGATATCGAAATTGACGAGACCTCTTGTAATGAACATAAAATTGGCAGCTTGATCCCCATAGGGAACTGTGACAAAGAAAGGATTATAGTTGGGCACAACGTCGGTTTTGATCGCGCGCGCATCAGAGAGGAGTATCATCGAGACAAATCGTGTAATAGATACTTGGACACCATGGCACTGCATGTGGCTGTGAGCGGACTCTGCACTCAACAACGTCCGTCCTGGATTAAACATAAAAAAGCCACCGAAGAAAATGACACAGAGTACTTAAGCAAGAAAAGTGACTTCCAGTGTGTATATGATGTTAGTTCTATCAACAATCTTCGTGATGTGTACAAATTTCATTGTCAAGAAGAATTGAATAAATCCGAACGTAATTTATTTGTCGATGGGTCTCTAGAAGATATTGTAAAAGATGAAAATTTACCGAGACTGATCACCTATTGTGCAAGAGATGTGCGTGCAACTCATCGGGTGTTTAAAGTAGTGTTTCCCAGGTTTCTTGAAGTTTGTCCGCATCCCGTGTCATTTGCAGGGATGATATGCATGGGAAACATGTTTCTGACCACAAATCGTGGTTGGGATGATTACATCGAAAGCGCGGAATCAATTTATCGAAAGCAGCTTGAATCCATTGAACTCAGTTTACAAAG